TTCTGAGATCTGACAAGATAGGCTATACTATACCATTCCACATGCCCTGTTTTGTATACCTTTTCTGAAATGATCACACACAAACCAGATCCTTGAGGGCCACAATCAGGCACAGAATTGTAGGCACTTAAGCATAATAGGCTGTAACCCACCTCTCCACTCAGCAGAGTTTCCTCCACCTTAATGAAACTTTCTCCAATTTCAGTGGCTCTTCCACTAGAAAAAGATCTACTTACTTTCACACTTTGCTGAGTAGGGTAGAATGCATGTCATTAAAATTAATGTCCTTAAGCACTTGTAGACCTGTGCCAGATTGTGGCCAGTTTAACATAAGAACATAAGAGAAGCCAGGGTTGGATCAGGCCAATGGCCCATCCAGTCCAACACTCTGTCACACAGTGGCCAAAAATGCTAGGTGCCATCGGGGAGGTCCAGCAGTGGGGCCAGGACACTAGAAGCCCTCCCACTGCTGCCCCCCCCCAGCACCAAGAATACAGTGCATCACTTGCCCCAGACTGAGAGTTCCTATCTATACCTTGTGGCTAATAGCCACTGATGGAATTCTGCTCCATATATTTATCCAATTCCCTCTTGAAGCTGTCCATGCTTGTAGCCGCCGCCACCTCCTGTGGCAGTGAATTCCATGTGTGAATCACTCTTTGGGTGAAGAAGTACTTCCTTTTATCTGTTCTAACCCGACTGCTCAGCAATTTCATTGAGTGCCCATGAGTTCTTATATTGTGAGAAAGGGAGAAAAGTACTTCTTTCTCAACCTGCTCTATCCCATGCATAATCTTATAAACCTCGATCATGTCACCCCTCAGCTGTTTATGTATACGGTTTATGTATACAGTGATAAATCTGGAAGTATTCTTGGCAGGCTTGCCAACCTCCAGGTGGGGCCTGGAGATCTTCTGGTATCCAGATGTCAGATATCAGTTTCCCTGGAGAAAATGGCTACTTTGGAGGATCAGCTCTATGGCATTGTGCCCTGCTGAGGTCCTTCCCCTCCCCAGATCCCACCACCCCAGGTTCCACCCTCAAAATCTCCAGGTATTTCTCAGCCCAGAGCTGGTAAGTAACCCTAATTCCTGGGCACATGAAATTCTGTACAGGATTGCATTCTGTATGAGCGAAGTCAACTGCTAAAGTCTACCTATCCCATCCCATTTGATGACCCCCCAGGGCAACTGGTTGGCTGCTGTCTCTAGCTTGATGCTGGACTAAATGGACTCTAGTGTGATCCTGTAGGGCAGGAATCCCCAACATGGTGTCTGTGAGCATCATGGCACCACCAATGCCTATCTTAGTGCCCACCAAGGAAAAGAAAGTCAGTGAGGTCCGGTTGGACTTTCATCCAGTAAGGCTTCTGATTGGCCACTGGAGATTTGATTGGCTGTGCAGATTTTTTTTTTAAAATGTTGCTTTGGCAGCAGCTGCCACCACAGGACAACAATCTGCTCTGTGTGACTGAAGGTAAGCTGTGGCAGCCATTTTGTGGATGGCTCTGCCTCCTGCAGCAGCCATTTTGTGACCATGCCCAGCCCACCACACTTGTATCAGAATTCCAAACTTGCCCACGGAATTTATCAGAATTCCAAAGATACTCAAAAAGGTTGGGGACCTCTGCTGTAGGGCATTTCTTATGTTCTTCCTTGCATTTCAAATGTATATACAGATTTATCTAGTTTGAACTGAACACATCTGTATGACTGATCTAGGATTCCTCCGATATGCATTTGGATTGCGTTATCTCTGACAGAAACTTAGTGCTCAGACTTCCCTACCCCCTTCCATTTCATTATCACAGCTTGGTCATATTTTGTGAATGTTTCATTCATAGATGGAGCACAGAAAGATCAATGAGATCAACCCTGCTGGGAAAGCACCATCTAATTAAAATTAGTAAAGGGGACAAGTGCACAAATTTCATGTTGCCAAGCAAAACATCCGACTGGCTGCTAGAAGGGCCAAATGGGTAAATGAGAGCTAAGTAAGAAAAGTGTTCACGTCTGGATGTCTACAAATTGTACTGACTGAAGTCTGAAAATGGCTCAGACACTGAGGTCACAACTAATATTTGACACCCAGAAAATTACATAGTGAAAATTCAGATTAAGAATCAAAATGACTCTACAAACTCAGTAGCTTGTTTTGTAAGGCTTAGTATATTTAATTTGCCTTTCTCCCTAGGACTCAACAAGTGTGTTAAAAATGTTTCCATCTGGTAACAGAATATCTATGTTAATATAGAAATCTTTCTTCTCTGATGCTCATAAATGAACTGGATGCACCCCATTTACAATCATTTATCTTTCTGTGTGCAAAGCACAGACCTTGCAAAACAAATTTTCTTGCTGAATACTTTTGCTTCCCCATTATTTTCAAGAAGGAGGAGGAGATTGGATCTATACCCCGCTCTTCACTTGGAGTCTCAAAGCAGTTTACAATCGCCTTTCCTTCCCCACAACAGACACCTTGTGAGGTAGGTGGGGTGAGAGAGCTCTGAGATAACTGCTCTTGAGAGAACAGCTCTGAAAGAACTTGTGACTGACCCAAAGTCACACAGCAAAGGAGGATGCAGTGCACAGAAAATGGGTAAACACAGTACCCGCACTACTATACAGCAGAAATTAGTCCCAGCCACAGTTGTGGTTTGGAATCACTTGGACTGAGTAGCCTCACATACCAATCATTTTCCCCAGCAACACCCCACATATCCATCCCTGGGCTGGTGGCTACTATACAGCAGAAATTAGTCCCAGCCACAGTTGTGGTTTGGAATCACTTGGACTGAGTAGCCTCACATACCAATCATTTTCCCCAGCAACACCCCACATATCCATCCCTGGGCTGGGTCAGATTCAGGAGGTGTATTAATGGCATCTGTTCCCATTCATCCCTCCTTGCCCCCATCACGCCTTGTAAGACGCCACCAGTGACGTCAGGATTGTGCAACCTGAGAACCTTGGTAAAGCATAACTATGCAAACAGTAGAGAATAGAGTTGCCGACTATCTGGAGGGGGGGGGGAAGCCCAGTGCCCTTAACAGAGGCTTGTGTGTCTACAGTGCCATCAAGTCACAGTCCACTTACGGAAACCCAGTAGGGTTTTCAAGGCAAGAGACGTTCAGAGGTGGTCTGCCATTGGCTACTTCTGCGTAACAGCTCTGGACTGCCTTGATGGTCTTCCATCCAAGTACTAACAAGGGCCAACCCTGCTTAGCTTCTGAGAGCTGATGACATCAGGCTAGCCTGGGCCATCCAGGTCAAGGCAACAAAAGATTAATGGTGTTTTATTTACCGAGTGATGTTATTTGCCTCCATGCCACGAAATGTTTGCACACATTACGATTGTTGTGACAAAGAGAGGACATTTTTCTCCAGGCCTGTCAGCAAGTATGGTACAGGATGCCCCTCTGCTTCCTCCCAGTCTGAGTCTTGAGCCAAAGACAGTCACCAGCAGGAAGTAGAAATGCCTGCCAGCCATCCAAGCAAGTTCAGTTCATAACAACCGGATTAATTTCCAACTAAAGGCATAACTTAATGCCTTCCATTCCAATTCTATGCATGTCTGCGGCCTGGGTTAAGCCCCACTGAGTTTGGTGGGACCTACTTCCAAGTAAGCATGCACAGGGCTGGGGCTGGCATGCATAGTTTTATGACTGCAGCATCAAGCAGTGACTTACAAGGAGTCCAGTAAGTGGTCTGGTGCTAAAAGCACAACTGAAGCTAAACAGATAGGGATCCCAGCCAGCAGCCATCTGGGTAGGAAGAAAGGGGCAAAGACAGGGTGGATACGGTGTCAGAAGTGGAGAGATCAGAGATCAAACCCTCACTCTTCCATAAAGAGTTTAAAACATATTGAAAACTGGTGAGTTGTATCTATGGTGATATAACTCATGATCCACCCATTTACTAACATGCAATATCATTGATCTAGGGATTCTTCTGGGGTCCTGAATGAGCCCCGCTTTACTCTCAGGAAGTCCATTCTGAACAAGAATGATGTGCCCAATTTTTCAAAATGCACATCCCTTAAACACACACACATTTGGTATTTTGACTTGGCTATATTTTTCACCACCACCTACAGGCCAAATGCTCATGTTCACATAATGATACTGAGTTTTCCACTGGAGCTCATGATCCACCCATTTACTAACATGCAGAATCATTGATCCGGGGCAGTCTAGGGATTCTGGGGTCCTGAATGAGCCCCGCTGTACTCTCACGCAGTCCATTCTGAACAAGAATGATGTGCCCAATTTTTCAAAATGCACATCCCTTAAACACACACACATTTGGTATTTTGACTTGGCTATATTTTTCACCACCACCTACAGGCCAAATGCTCATGTTCACATAGTGATACTGAGTTTTCCACTGGAGTACTCTTCCAGATTCACTTTGCAGTAATCAAGACTCATATATACTTGTACATGCCTTGACATCTAAACGTATGAACTGAACATTGCTTTTATGGGGTAATATTTCTGTGTTGTGTAGGATGTGTGGCCCATCCACTCGTGCATGCTTAAGGGAGGTTAAGATCCATAAATGTCCATTTCCAGGGGGGGTTTTCTGGGTTTTTTTTTTAAAGAGGCACCGGAAGAAACTCTCAAGAGGGAAATGAAGTTTTCAATCTGTATACTGAAAACTCATGAACTTTTAAACATTTCTAAAATAATTTTATCCAAGAGGTTCCAGAACTCTGTTCCGGCGCGTTCCTCCAGGGGAAAAAAAAAGAAAGCTCTGTTCATTCCTAAACCAGCCCCAGTCATGAGGACCAAGTACATGTGTGAAGCAGCCAGTATTATATGCGCCAAATTGATGTTTAACAGGCTTGTAGTAAGTACACCCCCGTCTGTTTATCTTGCCGGGGTTATTTTCGTAACACAACTGCATGCGTATGCTCGAAAATCCGTGCCGGAGAATGACTCAACAGCGCCCGGGAGAAGGAAGGGGGGCGGGCGCCCGAGGCTGTCTGCGGCCCAAAGTTCCGGAGGTTGAAAACGGCGATCGGGAAAGCTCGGCGCTCTTCTCCGCCCGCTGAGACGAGGCGAGGAGGAAGGGGGCGTATAAAAGCCTGGCGGGCTTTCCCCTCCTCTTTTGCTCAGAGTCGTCTCGCGGCTTGGAGGCGGAGCCTTGGTTTGGAGCGCCTCTCGCCCGGCCGGCCAGTTCGGGAACCCAGCGGCGTCGCTGCCCCTCCGTGCTCCCGGCAAACGCCATGGCCGTCTGGAGCGGCACCGATTCCAGCACGGGAGGCTCGGCCCGGCCCAGCTTGACCTCGGTCTCCTCGGGGGAGCTGCAGAGCCTGCGGACGTGCAACTGCGAGTTGGCCCTTTTGCCGCTGCGGCAGCTGCTGCTCCTGCAGCCGAACTCCTTCCAGCTGCAGGGAGACACGGTGGCCGTGCTGAACCCGTCCAGCCGACGCCCCGGCGGGGGCTTCACGGTGATCAGCGACGGCTCCCTTTACGTGGACGGGCAGCGCCTTTGCCGCCTCTCCGGCTACTTCAAGAGGTAACCTCTCTAGGGCTCCGCAGGATCCTTCTGTTTCTTTCTAAAAATGGCTCGCGCGCGTGTGGGGAGGGGGGTGTCTGCTGGACAGGTCGCCGTCCCCCTCTGGTTTCTAGGGCAGGTGCACCCCCCCCGCCATCACCGGACAAGCTGCACCTGCTGAGTTTCTGGTGGGTTGCACAGCTGGGAAAAGCCACTGGAGTCCGTTGCTCTCTCAGGAAGATACAGGTGGAAATTGGTCCAATTGCCCGCATCCCAGATACTTGTGCCGGGGGCGTCTCCTTGCAACTGGCAAATATCTGGTGAAAGCTTTATTGGCTGATTTGAGGCAGCGGTGTGAAATGAGTGAACCATTTGCTGCCCTTTGAGAAGTGAGTAGGATGCTCAATGGCTTTTCTCAAGAGTAGTTTAATCCTGTGTTAACTACAGAAGTGCCTCCCCCTGCACAGTTCAGGCTGCCCCTTAAGGCTGCTTTTGCTGTTTTCTTCTTCTTCTTTCTTCTCCCCAAGGCTGATATTCTAAGACAGCTGTGTTAAGCTGATCTAACCTGACTCTGGTCTATTCACTCCCAGAAAAATATCCTTAGGATTGCCCTGTAAGAATTGGCTGTAGAAAATGGAGGGGAGAAGAACATAAACAACTTAGAGAGTCCCCATTGGGGGAAAAGGTGGGGTGTAAATGAAGTAAAGTAAAAACAAAGCATGTGAATGTGCAAAATGACTTTCTTCCTCTGTCTAAAGACATGGAGGCTGGCTGAGGTTACTTGATGATAAAGAGTTAGCTGGTGTAAAAGGTGATGACCCCCTTCCAGGTGACAGTTCTACAAAGCTCTTGGAAGACCAGCGTTGAAATGGTTGCCTGCCTATTTCCTTGTGTTAGGTCCAGCAAAATGGTGGCTTGCGGTGGGAGGTGCTTTGTGAAAAGAGTCCCTTCAGGCTTTTCAAAAATTTGCCAAGATACTTCACCAAATTGTGTGAATCCTTCAAGCATATTGCTGTAGCTGTCCTATCTCAGTGTAACTTGCATGTTCAGAGAGAGTGCATCTCTGATTATCAGGTGCAGGATGGGAAACCATAGGGAATGGCCAATTCATTCATTTATGGTTTTTTTAAAAATCTGGCTGGTTGTGGATGGCAATGACTCGCTGGACTGAAACAGCCCTTGCTGTGGTGGTCTAGCAAGGCACCAATGTTCCCTCTAAACTGTGGAGTCTTGTGAGCAAAAATTCTATTTTGTGAGCTACTGGCATTAATGTTCTGAGTGAACATTTTGGCTACAGCATGTTAGTCTGCTCTGGAGCCCTCCTTCCTGAGCTAAGGCAAAAAATTGTGAGCCGGAGGCTAAAATACTGTGAGCTAGCTCACACTAACTCAGCTTAGAGGGAACACTGCAAGGCACTATTTATATCCGTAAATGTGCCAAGAGTTTGATTCCCCACTCCTCCACTTGCACCTGGCTGGATGACCTTGGGCAAGCCATAGTTCTGATAAGAGCTGTCCTTGAAAAAGAGCAGTTTCTGTCAAGAGCTCTCTCAGCCCCACCTACCTCACAGGGTGTCTGTTGTGGGGAGGGGAAGGGAAAGGAGTTTGTAAGTCGCTCTGAGACACCTTTGGGTAGTGAAGGGCCATGGGGTATGAATCCAATCTCTTCTTCTTCTTCTGGTGACCCTTAGTGGGGCTTGGACGTTTCAGAGAGGTGGCTTGTTATTGCCTGCCTCTGCCTCCTGGCCCTGGTATTCCTTGGAGGTCTCCCATCCAAGTACCTGCCAGGGTCGGCTCTGCTTAGCTTCCGAGATCTGACGAGATCAGGCTTGCCTGGGCTATCCAGGTCAGGGCAGGTTACTGCATTTTCAACCCATTCTACTTTTTATTTGCTCCGAAATAGCTGCCCTGAAACACCCCCATTTGGCAGCCTGGCTACCCTCTTGTAAACGTGGCTCAATATGAGTTGGGGTTTAATGAAAGCTTGAACCTAGGACATGAGAAAGAATAGTAATAAGCATTTAAATGGTGATTTACAATGTCCAAAGCATTTCACACACACCCTTGTTAGTTCAATACTACAAACTAGGCCAGCATTATAATTCCTATTTTATAGCTGAGCTGAGCTGATATGGAGAGAGAGAGAAGCATGCTTAAGGCTAGGTTCATAGCTGAGATGTTCTCGCTCTTGTTGAACTCCATCATATTTTCTGAGAAATAAGTCCCATAGGGCCAAGTGTTGCCTAGTCCCAAGAAATGTGCATAGGATTGTAACTTTGGTCAGTGTGTGACACTCTTAATAGTCAATCATTGTATTTTTTTTTGTGACAGCTAAGAAAATGCCTATGTTTTTGCCTCTTATCTAATTGGCAGAGGAGTTGGGTTGTGGTAGAACTACAGCCAATTCTGGTTTATCTGGGGTTAGAAGAGAAAGACTCTGGGGCTGTTGTGTCCACATACCAGAGTGTTTATTTTCTGTGTAGCATTGCTTTCCTCATTCGTCAGAGAAAAGCCCTGAAAACAGTCCCCTCTTATGCATAAAATACACAACCTGATGTGTCATCTCAGTGCTATTTAGACTTTGTTTATATGATGACTGTTGTGGGTGTACCACCTTTATTTCGAAGAGCCTATTTGCCCTCTGGGTTTTGCTTTCTTGTGTTCCAAAAAATGAGGCTTGGCCTCTTTGCAAAGATAATTGTGGGGATGGGACTCTTTCACTGTTGGAACATTTTAGTTGCACAATGTTTTCTTGCTGCAAGATTTGGTAGGAAAGGCAGAGAAAATCTTCTGATGAGTGTGCCACTATGAACAGGTGCTGCTTACAGGACTAGAGCAAGGTGTGAGGCATTGCTTGATACATTATCTAGAGTAGGCTGGGAGTGCATATAATTGAACTGAGAATTTAAATTTGGCTTCTGATCTGAAGGTTTTTTTTTTAAGTTTTTAAAAAGATCGTTGCTGCTGGTTTTGGCTGATCACTGTATAAAGGGACACATTCCACATGTTTGGAATTTGAGGAGGAAGCACCTTTGCATCTGATGGTATTGCAAACTCCCAACTTCACACTGAACAGTTAATCCAGATCTGGCTATGTCTGTTGCTTGGGGGAAATCCAGATTTAGTTAATATAAATTATGCAGGAAGCTTTAAACACCCTGAACTCTTTTGAGAGAGGGGTATCTTAATAAAATGGGCAAAGGGCATCTTTTCTTTTCTTTTGGCTTCTGAATTAATAACCAAATTTGGAGTTTTCCACTACTTACTGTAGTTCCATCTGTCTAGCTTTTCTGGAAGATCCCTAGCTTTTTAGTACATTGATATATATGCAATTGAGCAGACCATTCATTTCCTCCCATTTCTTCTCTCACCCATTGCTAGACTGCAACCTTGCGGCCTGATTGGTACAAAGAGACTGTCAGTGCAATCCTAAACTGATGTCCTGGCTTACTCTCAGGAAAGCATTCTTAGGACAGCATGTACATAACTCCGTATTTATTTATTTATTTATTTATTTATATCTTCGATTTGTATACCGCCCTTTACCCGAGGGTCTCTGGGCGGTTTTACAGGTATATGGTCTAAGTGCCTAATTATGATGTTGAATGATTCCCCCACCCCAGTACACTGATCTGTCCCCAGGGTCTTACTACAATCTTCGTGGTATTTATCTTTGCTGGTGTAAATGCCATTATATTAGTGCACTAGGATGAATGGGGGAAAGGATGATGCATTGCAACAGACTCTTAACTCCAGAGGGATGGACTAAAAATACATGCTTGATTACTTCAGCAAAAGTTGCAGCAAGTTATGGTTCACAAGATCCAAAGCATATGTTGATTTGATTAGGGGTAGTCTTACCTTTTCCCTTGACATTCAAGCGCTGGAAGAAATATTTATTTATTTGATTTATATCCCACCCGCCCTGCCGAGGCAGGCTCAGAAAGAAATTCATTAAAAATAAAACACACAAGGCAGAAACGCCTTCATGGTGGTTACTGGTTATAACGTTTTCAGGTCTGAATGCAAGATTTGTCACCTTGCCTTTCTAGGTAACAGTGCCAAAAGCAGAAAGAAGTTTGGCCAATCAACCAACACCAATTTAAGAAACTATACACAAATTCTAACATGGGCTCATTTGTATCTTGCACACTTGCAAGTTAATCTCTTTTTCAGAGAGCAAATAGCTTGACAGTGGTTAGCCAGAACAGTGACTCATGTGAGCATGTGTGTGTTTGCAGTCCCACCCTTCCCACTTTTCCTGTGTCTGTCTTGTATCCTTCCCTGATGCCATTTATGTTCCAGAAGCCACATTAGCTGTGGTAGAAAATAAATCTCACTGTTCAGTGCTTCTGTGTGCCTCTGTAGTACATTAACAATTATAATTT